AAACACACACACACACACACACTGCTGTGATGGAGTGCAGAGATTCAGAGATAACTGCAGCGTGAACTTTATCTGTCAGGTCACATAATTTGCAATGTTTATTATTACGCAAGTATAATTAGAGTGTGTAAATATAACTCAGGCGATGCCGGAGTTATTTTAAGCATTTGTACAGGCCCTTTGATGTGCGTAAGCTCTTTGAATGCTGTGGGGCAGTCTTCTTACTGCACTTGTGTTTGTAAGAAAGCACCATAACATAATACCATGCCACAGAAATGAATAAGCAGAATTCATCAATCACACACAACACCTGGAAAGAACCATGCAGAAATGATGACTAAGAAACCTGAGTGCATTGCAGACCGAATGGTGCAAATGGAGAAGAAATAATAAAGTGTATTAGAATTCCACTAGTATGACTACAGCCAGCAAATCACTGAGAGCAAGAAGCAGTAGCATTGGCTTTGGCAAAGGAAACTCAGATTTGTCAAGGACCTTAAACGTCAAGCCGATATTATCCCATTCACCGTTATTTGTTCTTTCCTATCAGTCCTCCTTTCTCAGGTGTCTGTAGATATAAAGATTTATATAGCTCATTTCTACCACACACTCTGAGAGAAATCAAGAAAGATGGGAGGAATCTGTGTAGTTATATGTCCAGTGGGAAGTACACAGATTCATCCTGTCTTTCTCACTATTTCTCAGTGTGAGAGAGCGGTAGAAACGAGCTACATAAATCTGAACAGGAGATTGTTTGAAGGTTGGCCAACTAGCCAGAGGAGAGCACTGTTGAATAATATTTCTTCATTTTCCTCTAGTTGCATTCAAGTGATATGTCACTCTGCTCATGCAGGTTATGAAATTAAAATCAATGTTTGGTAGTATGCTGCTATATTTTATATCTTATATTATCCATTCACTTCATATATAAGGTATCCTGTTTTGGGCTATTTTAGTTTCACCAGTGCAATATGGGTTTCTGTTATTTAGTCTATAACCTATAACCAACAGTTCATAAATGCATTTTAAAATGAATATTTTCATACTTTTTCTGAAATGTATTTATTATTCCACCACTGGTTATGCCGCATGATTTAAATTATTTTTCTTGTGTTTACATAAACATTTTGTTTCATTTATAGTTAATACGTTGTACTAAATCAGCCTTTTAAAGCCAGCTTTAATTTATTCTGAGATCATGGTCCATTCATCCAAGTGCTAGTAAAAAATGTGCTGGCCATAGTTATGTTCATAATTTTTAACATTCTGTCCTTCATTTGCTCCCAGTGGACCTCCTTTTATAGTAAGCACTTTGACATTGGTGCTGTGAGGCTAACCAGATTTGAACACTACTGTAGATCATCCCCATTGTCCGAGGACACATTCTTTTTTTTTTTTTTTGGCTCCACTTATTGCACTAGCTAATATACTGCATACTGTGCTTATCAGTTGTAAGCTTCCACTGTTAATACAAAGAGTGATTCAAATTTTCTTCGGTTTTACGTAAAATACCCATACACCTCAGTGTGTCACTGGTTGAGGAGGAGATAGGCCAGAATGAAGTAATGAAAAAAATGTTAGTGATGGTTACATCAGGAGAAGCGCTGTAATGTTGCATGTTGTTCTCTTCCTCCAGGGTAATGTGGGCCCTGCCGCATTCTGGCTCCTGGCCTTCCTTCTGACCCACTCAGAGGCCATGAGGGCAGTGAGAAAGGAGTTTTTGAGTGTCACAGTGCCTGGAACTAACAAACTCAACCCTCAGGAACAGACACCTGTGTTTGGTAAGTCTCATGCTCATTTTTAGAAAAAAAAGGGATAGTGTTTGTCTACTGAGTCTGTTCTGACAGGAGTTTCAATTAAAGAAAATGCCTATCTTATTATGTATTAAATATCTTATTCTTAAAGAACACAAATCACAAATATTGTGGTTCTTAACATGTGATTGGTCTAGCATTCTCTACCATGGTATCCCGTTTCCCCTGATTTAGTGCACTCAGTTTCTAAAATTAATGTAGGAAGGAAGCTGTGATACACTAAGAAATGTGACGCCTTTGTAACAATGACGATAGCACATCGTCATATCACCCACGCTACACAGCTCTAATGTGTCTCCAAGAGATTAACCTAAGGTACAGATTTAGCCTGCTCAGAAAAGAAAAGTGCAAAGGAATTGTCGGGGTCTGACTCATGTAAGACCAAAGGTTGCACGAGGCAAACACTAGAAAATAGTCCACTCAACAAGTGTACCTTCAGAGTGTGAGTGTGTGTGTGTGTGTGTCTGTCTGTCTGTGTGTGTGTTTGTTTGTTTGTTTGTTTGTTTGTTTGTGGAAGAGTATGGTGTAGCACAGTTGGATCTCACAAATGAAATTATACAATACATTATTGTTGTTAGGTTGTTAGTTAATTTCTGGTATTGCTTTTCATATGTTAATTTAGACAGTGTGCTGGAGGAGACTCTCCGCCTGACTGCTGCCCCTTTCATCACTCGGGAGGTCCTGCAGGACAAGACACTGTGCATGGCAGATGGACAAGAATACGATCTGAGGAAGGGTGACCGTGTCTGTCTGTTTCCATTCATAAGTCCACAGATGGACCCAGAAATACATTTTGAACCTGAGGTACACAAAGATTCAAACATATAAAAACACAATTATAATCATGCTGTGCTTCACAAATATGTAACTGTTCCAGTATTATTCAAAAAAAACAGCACTGCAACAACCCCTTTATTAATGGTGACTACATGAATGGATACTGTTATCATCAGTTTGTGCTTTAGACTTATCGAGACTGCACTCATAATTTTAAGATGTTCCTGAATGACCATTTTCAGCTGTTTTTTCAGTGTAGTTTAAAACTCCCTATTGTGTCTACTTGTATAATCCAAGTCGTCAAGAGAACTGTGAGATGACCTAATGAAAAGACAGTATCCTTTCTCTCTCTCACACACAAACACACACTCAGAGTTCAGACTTTACACTTACCATGGATTACCCCTTGGAAAGGTTTAACCCAGGACATGTGTCAGCCGTAGGATTAAGGTGCAGTGATAATAGAAAGAAGCTAATTGGCGGAAAAGCCTAGTTACATGTCTGCGTCATGGCTACTATTATCCTGACAAAGCTATCAGTTTGGAAAATCTCACCTGATGTCAAATGTAATGACAATGCCGTGCTAACCTGATTGAGTGAACGTGGCACATTCTGTCAAATGCTGATCTCTGACAGATTAGTGAGAGAAAATTTGTGTGTGTGCAAATCATGTCACTTGTCACGTGACATCACGTCGCCTGTGTCTCTGCTATTTTCTTTACAGAAATTCAAGTATAACAGGTTTCTTAAGGCAGATGGAACAGTAAAAAAAGACTTCTTTAAAGGTGGGAGGAGGCTGAAGTATTACACCATGCCTTGGGGAGCAGGGACCAATGCGTGTGTGGGAAAGCCATTTGCCATCCAGTCCATCAGACAGTAAGTGTCCTCTGAGACAAAATGCATTCCCCAAAGAAAGGCTCACCTACTGCATCTAAACACAGAGGGCCACAGAGATTAAAGTTCACACACACAGATCATTAATTATCATGTTGTAAAGAGGCCAATCCAGCTGTTGCACATGCAGAGGCCATTTAAAGGGATATGCAACATTCCCACTGTAGGCAAACATGTCCATGTCCCTAAGGCTTGCACTTTCAAGTGTGCGTTTGAGGGAAAAAAAAATTAAAAACATGACCATGGAAACCTGCCCAGTGCTGAAACCCTTTCTACATATGTCATTCTGTCTTTCTGTGCTGTCCAGGTTTGTGTTTCTGGTTCTATTCCATCTGGCCATTGAGCTGCATGACCCTGAAGCTCAGGTGCCTGAAGGGGATGTCAGTCGCTATGGTTTTGGAATGCTACAGCCGAACAAGGAGCTTCAAATCCGATACAAACGCAGAGAGCACCCTTTTTTCCGATAACAGTCCACCTGTACCAATTACCCAGCTCACCTATACATATTTATTTAACATTTTTTCATACTTTTTTATATATGACTGCACATAATTGTATATATATTTCAATACTTTGTATCTTACTTGTGTTTGTAATTGTATATTATCATTGTCACTTTATGAAAACTTCTGGGAAAATGCTATATTATTTATATTTTTACATTTATATTTTTTGAAGAATCAACTAATAAAATGTGAACTTATCTGACAACAACATGATTGGCTCATTTACAGAATTTCAAATAATGTGGAACCTTTCCTATGGCACTCTGTATTTATAACTATAGTGTCTGGTTCTAACCATACATGCAGCATAAAAGTTTGATTACAGGCCACAGAGCTGATGGTTCTAATACCTGTACCGCTTCACTACAGTCTGTCACTGTGCCCTTGTAGGCACTAATCCTAAAGCTGTACTAAATAAAAACAGGACATGAGGATTTCCTAGTTAGACTGGTTAGACCCTTGTCATGATAGAAAAGATGAAAGATGAAGGCTGGTCAAAATCATACATTCTTAAGACAATCTAATACTGCCTTTGTATTAATTTCTCATTTTTGTGAATCCTGACTTCTATTCATGTTCCAGATTCCAGGTTTCGACAAATTGAGTAAAAATGCTGCTTTTTCATAATTTGTTTGTCAAGGCCCTTATGCCTCAAGTGCTCAGTTATAACCTGTCTCAATTGTAAATCGCTTTTGAAAAAAAAAAAGAGCATCAGCCAAATGAGGTAAATACAAAATGTAATATTATCTAGGAAGGAAATAGCCTAAAAGGATTTTCACCCACATTTCAACACATTCAATCACAAGAGGTCATTAACATTGCAAGGCAAAGTGTATGAATCACTACAGGGTTTAACTATCACTGGCTAAATTGATGCATGTGTGTGTGTGAACATTTATGGCATTTGGCAGACACCCTTATCCAGAGCAACTTACATTTATTACATTTTTTATACAACTGAGCAGTTGAGGGTTAAGTGCCTTACTCAAGGGCCCAGCAGTGGCAGCTTGGTGGTGTTGGGGATTGAACTCCTGACCTTCCGATCAGTAGTCAGAGATCTTAACCACTGAGCTACCACTGCTACCGCTACCATTGCACTACCACTGTGTGTAGAATACCAGTAGAGACTTTGGGGTTCCCTGACTTTTCACTTGGTCAGTTTGATTTTTATTCATAGTTTACTACATAAGCAATCTCAGAAATAAACGTACCAAATTGTATGTTTCCTTTTTGCTAGGGTGTTTCCATCAATTACATCTTTTCTGCCAATCGTATGTATCTTTTACCTGGGAAGGTGCATGTCGTGTATCTTTAATTAGCTTTTAGATGAATGTTTTAAAGGTACATCAGTGGTCCTTATGTATGTTATATTGTTTATAGTATAAAGTATAAAGATAGGCTACATACTAATAATGACACTTGATGGTATCACCCCTGCAACAAGAATAGCAACAAGTATAGTTTGGTACCTTTATTTCAGACAGTGTATGTATGAATTATGGCTAATAAAATTACACACAAACATTTACTATGTTTAAAGGGTAAATGAGATCATTTGCAAATCACAGTAGGCTTACTCCCTATTCCACACCCTACAACATATCGGGAGAGAAAGATGGTAAAATAGTGGTGGGATTCTTAGGGCCCGGATTAGAGAGGGGCCCAAATGGATCCTACAGAACAAACCCTGTCCACAGATATGTCCTGAACAAGATTCACCCAGTACATGAATCTATCAAGGAGCCCACAATTCCTTCTTCCGTCCCAGTGGTGTGGCACAAAAACAACCAGAGGGAGAGGAAAAAGAAGCAGTGAGGGGAAGGAGAGAGAGAGAGAGAGAGTGAGGGAGAGAGATTGAGAGAGGGGAGAGGGTGTGTGTTTTGTGTTGCTGTAGCCCTCCGCCCCTCTGCAGATGTAACGGAGCGGAAGCTGCTGCCGTCACGCGCGCGCAGTCTTGATTAGCAGGTGGGAAAAGAGCTCGCGCGGGATGGGATTCGCATCGCAAACTACTTGTTGAGGATCAGCGCTTATGAGAATCAAGTCCGGATGGAGCAGCGAGTCAGAGGCAGCAGTTTATGTGCTCGAGCATGCCGTGGAGGAGGCGATGCTCCGGAAACCGAGGGAAAAGCTGAGGTATAGCTGAGAGAGAGAGAGAGAGAGAGAGAGAGAGAAAGAGAGAGAGAGAGTACAGCCTCCTTCTCCTGCCTGACGACGGACTGAAGCTTTTCCGTTCCCGCCTTCAATCTGTCCGAGTGAGTCGCCTTGTCTGGCACTGTCACATTGCACAATTTCCTTTATTATTATTATTATTATTATTATTATTATTATTATTATTATTATACCATGGCTACGTAGGTGATATAGTTCTGATCATTTTGTAAATAATTTTCTATATCACATTTGTACTCATATCAGCATACGAAGATATTAAACCAGCACTTTGCTTTCAAACACATGCCACATAACGCCTGGTCTAATCGTCTGTTGTTTGTGGGATGTTAGAATATTTGCACACTGAATATCTGTTGCTATTTTAGAACATAAGTAGTTTTTTTTATTTCGAAAGAGACATATTTGAGAACTTTAGGCAGAAACAAAGCGATTTTATATGCAAAGAACAGATTCTGTTCATATTCGTGATTGCGCTTGAATTCTTTTTCACATTCTTTTAAACATTTGCACTATTTGTATCCAAACGATCTTAATAATAATAATCGTTTTATAAATAAACTGTTTGCCTAGTTCTCCAAACCAGCGAGCAGCTTTCCGTTTCCAAATCGCCGACTGGTTAATCTCTGGTGAATTATAAACATAACCTGCTTATCTGAGCCAGTATAGGGCCATGATCGCTTTAGTGGAGATGAGTAAGACAGAGGAACACCTTCAAATGTCAAGCTGGAACACATTAACGCTTTAAAGAGTGTCTACTGTTCACGTTTAGGCTCGTTTATAGAAACTGGCTTATTAGCAGAAAAGTGGAGACACGCTGCCGAGAATAAAACGGTTTCTCTGCTTTCAGCACTGGACAGCGACCGTTTCGAAGGCAAGTTCACAGCAGTCCACACAGAGGCGGATTATCATCGAGCCAGACGTTCTCATTAGCGGATAACGAACATGGCCTGCGAGCTGTTTCCTTGTTCTTCACGTTCAGTTCTGAGTTTAAGTCGGTTTCACATCCCTCCTTTTTTGCAGCGGGAAGAATGAAGGAGAAGAGAAGCAGATTTAGGCGGTAGTTCTCTCAGACACTTCCAACTGTTACTCTTTTGAGTAAGGAGGGATCGCTAAGGAGATAGGAAATGATTAAGACCGGGTCACGCTCTACCTCCACTGTGCCGCCTGAGCCAGTGGAGATCATCCGGAGCAAAGCGAGCTCACGCCGCGTGCGCCTGAACGTTGGCGGTCTCCTGCATGAGGTGCTATGGAGGACACTAGATCGGCTGCCGCGCACACGCCTTGGCAAGCTGCGAGACTGCAACACGCACGAGGCCATCATGGAGGTGTGTGATGACTACAGCCTGGAAGAGAACGAATACTTCTTTGACAGGCACCCAGGTGCATTCACATCTATTCTGAACTTCTACCGCACGGGTAAGCTGCACATGATGGAGGAGATGTGTGCACTCTCGTTCAGCCAGGAGCTTGACTTCTGGGGTATTGATGAGATCTACTTGGAGTCATGCTGCCAAGCACGCTATCACCAGAAGAAGGAGCAGATGAATGAGGAGCTGAAACGTGAAGCTGAGACCATGCGCGAACGTGAGGGTGAGGAGTTTGACAACACGTGCTGCACAGAGAAGCGCAAGAAACTTTGGGATCTCTTGGAGAAACCCAACTCTTCTCTAGCAGCAAAGGTATGTGCTGGTGTGGATTTGTCTACGTGGTCTCAATTTGTTCCATGCTTTAGGTTTAAAACATAGCAGAATTAGTAAACTGATGTGCTGCATGCTGTTTTCTTTCGAGCTGATATTTATTTAGCCCAGAGATTCTCAGCTCGAGTTCAGACCCAAAGTGCCACACAGTTTCAAGTTCTCCTTGCACGTACAACCCAAATCCAGTGTAATTATCTGGTGAGCTGTATCAAGTGTTTGCACACAGGGAATATGTGAGAATATATGTGGGTCACAAGAAGTTGAGAATCTTGGGTTTAGCCAGATTTAGGCTCACTAGGTGATATCATTCATTAACTGAGATTACTGGAAAAAAAATCTCACCATGACTGTGGCCAGGGCCCTGTCCAGTAGCTCATAATGATGGTGTAATAATCCTTATGACATTGGAGTAGGGCAAAGTGACAGCGTTCTAATTTGAATTATTTAGAAGTGGTGTAGAATAGTCAATATCTTTTATTCTTCTGTGTGTTCTGAGTAATTGTCATCATATCATTTTCCACATCAAGCTAATTGCAAAATGGCATGCTGATGAATTCAAAGTAATGCACCAGAGTATCCCTGGGCGGACTCTGGAATCAATCTAATGGAGCTCCAGGGGTGTTCATAGCACTTGCTCCACCCAAGGAGATGAGTTTGCTATTGTCAGACAGTACATTTACTTAACTCACTAATGCTTTTAAACTTTTCATTTTTATGATCTCCTGACAGTGAGTTCAATATAGAGTAGGCACCTGACATTCCCACAGTCCTGTGATCATGCATAAAAAAGTAGTGTAGTATCTGCAATACATGATAGTGTTTAATAGTCATTTTTATTATATGTATAAGATGTGAAAAAATATGCCTCTTACTGTAGTAATACTCTTACTACAAGTGCATAATGTGGGACAACTGTAATTATTTAATGTGTACTGGAAATGACGGTCAAGTGTAATTATCAGTGCACACTCATGTCAAGTGCTAGCCAGTGAGTAGCACACTTAGGGACATGCATCACTTTGCAATTAGCTTAAAAGCTCAATCTATTTTAAAGCCAATCAGCAAATCTTAGTGTTAGACAATTGCTCTCAAGAATGGTATAATATGAGGAACTGTTGACAGAATGATGAGGAGACAAAATGTATGGTTCTTACAATTACATTTACGTCTTCTGGAGTGCTGAAGCATTAAACTGTGTATTTCAGCACAGGACTGCTTTGTTAGCTGAAGAAGTGTCTCTAATCACAGTTCAAGTAGAAGAATATTCTGGTCCTACTTAAGGGCTGTCTTTGGTATGCTAACAAGAGGGCATCTTTCTGTGAGAGCTGTGAGGGGTTTTTTTTTTTTCAGCACTCAGTCACATACTTTTCTCAAGTGTTTGTCTCTCAGCCAGTTTTCTAGACACAGTCTAAGGAACACTGAGGAGGAGCTGAAAGAGGGCTTATTCCACCAGAGACTCACTGTGTCTGGTGCTTGCATTTTTGCCAACAACATCAACATTACTTGTTCTATTAACAGGGCTGTACCCTGACAACTTCTAAAACACAGACCTTAACATAGAATAAATCATTTCAAATTCTTATGTAGACAGTTATGGATTGGGAATGTCTGTGCCAAAACAAACACAAAATACACTGACATCTTTTTAAGTTTTGTATCTGGGTCATCCAGTAATTTTCTTAAGTTTTATATATTTACAAGGCTAATTTGGGCCCCTTTTCAAACTATTTCACTTGCTTGGTACTTGGTACATGGTACCTGTATATATAAATTGATGTTATCAATATTTAAATATAGAAATTCCAGACCATCTCTAACTACATCAATAAACTTTATACTAGTCATGTTTCTACATTATTGGTCTGTGGCATCAAACAATCCTGTGAGGTGAACGTGATCTTGCCTGATATTCTCACCTCCATTTGCCCTCATACCCCAGGGTGAAACAAGGCTTCTATAGGATCCTCTTTGCACCTCACTTCCTCATGGCAAATGAGTGCAAAGCATACAGCACACAAATTAGATTTCACTGGGTGGGAAACAATATCGGCAGAGATATTATGCTATAAAATGAGTGAAATGAACTTATTTGGTGCCTTAGTTTACTTTAACAGGAAACCTATACATATTGTTGTATATCTGAAGTTCTGGTTTATTTTTTCAGGATACAAATCCATATAACTGATTAAACAGAATTAGAGTGCAAGTGTGT